TAAGAGTTCCGTGGTTCTCGTCCTCGTCCACGTCTGGTTCTGTCGGCCTTTAATTTCCACGGTTCTGGCCGCGCTGCGGTTCCAGTGTGCGCTTCCTTCACGGCGGAGCCGAACGTTCTTCGTGTGCTCATTGGGGATTGTGTGTCTCCTTTTGTGACGTTTCTGTTCAAGTCTCTGGCCTATTTTAAAAATTATTTAAACGATTTCAAAGAGGAAGGGAGAGGGAGAGATAGAAACATCAATGATGAGAGGGAATCATCAATCGGCTGCCTCCTGTACGCCCCCTGCTGGGGACTGAGCCTGCACCCCCAGGCATGCCCTGTCTCCCCTGGCGTCACCGTGAAGCCGTGCTGCAGATCAATGGCCCGTGTATGAAGGGGCTGACTTCTGGGCTCTGTTCTGCTCCGCAGACCTGTCTGCGCTTCCCAAGAAACCACCGCTCCTAGCACCGTGGCGCCCAGAGTCCTGAAATCAGGTAGCCAGCCTCCTCTGACATTGTGCTTTCTCAAGATTGTGTTAATTATGCTAAACACTTGGCTGTGCCGATACATTTGATGATTAGCAGAAACATGTCCAGGACAAAAGCGCACCAGCCCTCCGATTAGCAGTGCCTCAGGCTGCCGGTTAACCATCAGGGCCTGGCGCCCTGACAACGGGGATGTTAATATGAGTAGTTCGTCTTCCATCGTGCTCAGCGTGGCTCCTAGTTTTCATTCCAAAGGCTTAGCCCGCGTCATTAAATATGTATCCCTACATATTCCATTTCTACGCTGTCAGGGTTTTTTTTTAAGTTGTTTCCAATTATACGTTGTTAGGATACAGACATATGAGAGAGATTTGGATTTGATGTTGTACCTTGCAACCTTGCTAAACTTAGTTACTAGTTTTTGTTTTTTTTTTAAAGCAGGGGTTTTATTTTATTTATTTGTTTTTTAATCCTCACCCGAGGATATTTTTCCATTGATTTTTAGAGAGAATGGAGGGGAGAGGGAGAGAGGGAGAGAGGGAGAGAGAGAGAGAGAGAGAGAGAGAGAGAGAAACCCATCGATTGGTAGAGGTAGAAGCACATGCCCTTGACTGGAAAATGGGGTCTTTGCAGCGAGCCCACAGGCCGACCCTCCAGCCACTGAGCCAAACCGGCCAGGGCTAGTTACGAGTTCTCATATAGCCTTTCTGGATTCTATAGAATTTGCCGTGTGCACGGTGGTGTTTTTCATGAGCAGCTTTTCTGTCCTATCTGTGAGCATTTTCTCTTCTCCGGCTTCTCTGGGCACTGGCTACACCTCCGAGCAAGCTGCGGGAGCAGTGGGTGTGCCGTGGGCATCATCCTGGCCCGAGGGCTCGCTCGTGAGTGGACGCTGATGTTTTCTGTGCAGCCACTGAAACGATCACATGGATTTTCTGCTTTGTCCCATCCGTCTGGTGATACGGGTCGAACCGTATTCCCCGCCCCCAGAATATGTTGAGGTCCCAGCCCTCAGTCCTGAGGAATGTGGCCATTGGAAATGGGGTCTTTGCAGATGCGATCAAGTTCAGATGAGGTCGCCAGGTGGGCCCTAACCCAATGCGCCTGGTGTCCCTATAAGGCAGTGGTTCTCAACCTTCTGGCCCTGCGACCCCTGTGAAAGGGTCGTTCGACCGCTAAAGGGGTCGCGACCCACAGGGTGAGAACCGCTGCTCTACGAAAGTGGTGTTATTCTGTCCACCGCAGCCTGCCCTCTGGCCCCCAAAGAGT